AGGTTATTGGCCCTGAATGTTGTATAACGATAGATGATTTTTCTGGGAAAATTTCAAATATCACCAAAGAGATTAACCAAACGGGGCAGGATGCGGGTAATATCATTATTCATTCGGGCGGAGGACTATTGGATTGGCTGAGTAATTGGTTGCAGAATATGGGAGTGGGTTGGTTAGGAAGTATAGTCAGAATTTTGTTAGAAATAAGTTTAGTTATTTTGTTAATCTTTGTTATTGTAAAATGTGTTCTCATATGTTGCACCCAGTGTTGTTGAAAGACTGCGAAATCAATGATGGCTGTGCATTCAGTCCCAGTTAACTACCACGTCACAACCAGCTCCTCATGTGATGAGCTAAGTTATGAGATGGAAAGTTTTCATGCTACTTTCCCGGATTCCTTCTTGGAAATCGATAGTTCATCCTAGGGAGCCTACCTGGTGCCCTGTTACTGAGGGATGGTGAGTTATCCCAGGGATAAAAGGGAGGAGTGTGGAAAGTGAGGGAATGTTGTTCATCTTTGGGCAATCGCAAAAGTTACAGAATAAGCAAAGGCAATGAGACAAAACATGTTTTCGCATTTGGTGTAAGCTCAGCTTTGTTTTGGTTTGCAACTATCAATGTATATGTTATTGTGCTAAGGAACCCGGGACCCATATCTCTTTTTATGAAAGAAACAGACATCCAATTATGGGAAAATGGAACATGTATAAAAGTCAGATGTTTTTCTCTGGTGTGCAGTGTGGGGAGCAGTATCTCGAGAGAGTTGTTGCACCTCATATATATGAAATAAAGCTTTTTTTGGATGTATACCGCACTGACTCCGTGTTGAGTTTTCAGGTCTTTAAGAGCAATCGCACATCGCAATTTGGGTTTAACAATGCCAGACTCCACTCTTTCGATTTCAAGATCCTTGTTGACTTTCAAATGGCCTAAATAGCCTTATCCATGTTATTTTGACACAGATGACACAGATCCTGCAGCCTCACTCTTTCACTTGTGAGCTCATTGCTCTGTAAATTTGGGCCTCCACCAACATCATTTACTGGCCCTGCTCTTCGAAACAATTTCCAAAAATCCCTCCAATTCCATTCCTTTGTGTTTTTTAAAACCCACTTCTTCCATAACACCTTTCGTTCAACTACCAATTCCATATACTTTGCTTGGTTTCATCTCAGCATCTGAAGTGCTTTAATATGTTAATAATCCATAATAATCCTTGCATTTGGTACAAAACAACTTGCACTTATATAGCGCCCTCTACGCAGGGTAGCGTATCAGAGAGGTGCATTTGAAAATCCAAGCGGAAGGTGACAACCCATGCAATTTGATACTGTTTTATATAAAAAAACATATACTTTTATATACTTTCATGTCTTCTGGACATCTCAAAGCGTTTTACAGAATATACTGTAAAGTGAATTGACTGCCAGAATTTATATTATTAACATATTGAAGCACTTTAGACACTGAGACGAAAACCGATATGTTACCAATATTTCGTGGCCAGCACCTTGGGATTCCTCCTGCTAATAAATGTTAATTTGTATTGTATTGTGGATATTGTTATTTACTTCAAAACTATTTGTAGGCAAACTTGGTGGTCAAGCAAAGTCCCAAACGCTTGATCTCACTAAAGTTTTCCTTGCCAGCTTTCATAAACTTCATCTTAAAAAAACTCTGCAGGATAGAACTCTACAGAGTTTACAAAATCTGGTAAGGATTACTTGTGAAGTGCTTTGAGACTTTCAGTGTTTCATGTTTTGCACATGTGCCGCTCCCTCAAGAGCAAGTAAAATCTACTTTTGTCCAAATTCACACTATAACTAATAATTCTTTTATGTCAAACAACATCTCCTTTATGAATATTGCTAATAGCTGGCTTCAATAATGCAGCTGAGATAAACTCATTCTCTCAATATCCTCTATGGTACCAGGGATGAGGTACTTGAGTTTTGTGGAGAGTCTAGAGAAGCTGGGATTGTTCTAATGGGCGCAGAAAAGGTTAAGGGGAGATTGAATAGAGGTGTTCAAAATTATTTGATAAAAATAATAATCCTTGCATTTGATATAGTACTTTTCATGTCTTCTCAACATCTCAAAATGACTGTAAAGTGAATTAACTGTATATTTGTGGGCGAAACGTGGCAGCCAATTGCGTACAGCAGCGTCCCACAAACAGTCGTGGATTGAAAATGACAAATTTATTATTGTGATAGAGTGAACAGGGAGAAACTGTTTCCATTTGCAAGTGAGAGACCTGAGTTCAATTCCAGGCAGGGTGAAACCTTGGGCAAGTTTCCTTACTCCACACGCCTAATAATAATCCCTCCAAAAAACCAAAAACAATAATTAAATTGGTCATTTTCAATCTACGACTGTTTGTGGGACATTGCTGTGCGCAATTGGCTGCCGCGATCGCCCACAAATATATAGTCAATTCACTTTACAGTGTGTTCTGTGAAGCGCTTTGGGACGTCCTCCTGACGTGAAAAGCGCTATATCAAATGCAAGGATTATTATTATTATTATTATTATTATTATTGGTGAGTCTGTCGGTAACCAGATGACACAGATTTAAAATAGTTATCAAAAGAACCAGAGGGGAGATGAGAAATGCTTTCATGGAAGCTGATTCGATAACAACTTTCAAGAGAGGAGTGAATAGATATTTGGGGAGGACAAATTTGCAAGGCTATGGGGAGAGTGCGGGGGAGTGAGGTTAATTTGGATAGCTCTTTCAAGAGCTGGCATGGGCACGATGGGCCGAACGACCTCCTTCTGTGCTACATAATTCTATGTTCTATGAATCCTGAAAGAGCAGGTCCCTTGAAGCCAAAGCTTTGGAAAGTCAAACACATTAATTTCAAGAATTGTGTTTTTGAAGACTCACATTTAATCGCATTAAAGCTCTGCTTTTTCTACAGATAAATTAAGTAACTTCAGGATACAGAACAATTATAAAGTAGCTAACTTGTGTTATTTTAAGGAAAGCTATTTACATTGTCATTTGAAACAAAGAATTAATTATATTAATTCCCTTTCCTCTCTAAGTAAAATAATCCTGGAGGCAAACGCAATGAATGTGTGAAAGATGTAGAAGAACAAAGTGTTTGAACTGGTAAATTTCAGGATCTAGTTAAACTTGAATTCCATCTCAGAATTCTTGAATATCACTTTGTGAACAGTTTAGGACTTCTGCATGCATCAGGTCACATTGGCTAGTACCAAGTACAGAGAGAATACGAACTGTTCAACAGTTTTACTGTGTGTACTCCATGGTACAGTGCACATCAAACTAATGGGTTAATCAGGCAACTGGATAATGGAATCTCTCCAGACTTAAATGTGCTGTAATTAAAGGTTGATGGAATGTGGTATGAGATTTATCCTATTGGATGAGGGGGGGGGGAGGGGAGAGGGGATCTCTATGGTGTTGCACCTTAATTTGTTTTTGTTGCTGCTGGTACTTTACTGCACTAGCTAAATAATTAACTACGGCATTGTAATCTATCACTTCCAAACTGTACTTTACTCTGTACTCCTGTAGCTCAGTGTAGGGAGCCCTGGACTCCTGTAGGGAGTCCTGTAGCTCAGTGGTTAGAGAACTCGCCTTGCAAGCGAGAGACCTGGGTTCAATTCCCGGCAGGGTGAAACCTTGGGCAAGTTTGCTTACTCCACACGCCTGATAATAATTCCTCAAGAAAAAAGAACAATAATAAAATTGTTCACTTCAATCCACGGCTGTTTGTGGGACAATGCTGTGCGCAATTGGCTGCCACATTTCTCCCACAAATATAGTCAATTCACTTTAGTCTATTCTGTGAAGCGCTTTGAGACATCTAGAAGACGTGAAAAGCTCTATATCAAATGCAAGGATTATTATTATTACTACTCCAATATTAAAATGTTAATCTGCAAGCATATATCTGAACTGAATTGTGGTTTACTTTTCTACTCCAATGGAACCTTACGTATTCCAAATGTAGAAGACACTAGGAGCTCGGTCTAATAAAATGTGATCTATTAGTGTAATGTGGAGCAAAGCGTTCAATTTTCCTGTACAAATAAACACCAGATGCATTGACCCCAGTTTAGAACCAGACAAAAAATGCTAGATGCATTTAAACAGGGAGAGTAGTTATTTTCTAATATATCAAAAATATATTTTAATTATAGTCCTTGACTTTTAAATAGGCAGTTGCTAAGGAGTTTGTAGTTTGGACCAGCCTGGAGCTACCCTCGATAAGACATGGTTTTCATAAGAAGGGTGCTGACATGCCAATCAGAGCAATGGGCTATATATAATAGTGATCCTTGCATTTGATATAATAATAATAATAATCCTTGCATTTGATATAGCGCTTTTCACGTCGGGAGGACGTCCCAAAGCGCTTCAGAGAACACACTGTAAAGTGAATTGACTGTATATTTGTGGGCAAACGCGGCAGCCAATTGCGCAAAGCAATGTCCCATAAACAGTCATGGATTGAGTGACCAACTTATTATTATTATTTTTTGAAGGAATCTTTACCCCTGGAAAAGCGACCCGCCATTCGATTAACAACCAGGTAATGCCAAGGTAAACAGAGGCGTGTGGAGTAAGGTAACTTGCCCAACATTTCACCTTGCTGGGAATCGAACCCAGGCCTCGGCTTGAGAGGAAGTGCTCTCACCACTGAGCTACAGGACTACACAACAGCATCCTAGTGAGAAGCTGGCTGGAAATTCTGGTTTTAGTGATTGTTCTCAATATGCAATGAAAGTGTAAAAACAACCTAATTGCTTTTGAACACACTTCCTGTTACTCAATACCATCTCACACTGAGCGAGATGCTAAACTGAATGGAGCAGCTACCTTTGTCTTTTTTTTCATCAAACCATAAAATATATAAACTTTCAGTCACTCTACACTTCCCAATCGTGTGTGCAAACACTAGTCTTTACTAGTATGTCAGTTGTTGATTGCTAATGTTCCCAGTAATCAAGGGCAACAAAAAGACTGTGGTATAGTCTGGCTATGTAATTAATCAACAGGTTACTCTTTGTACAACATTATCACAACATGAATATTAGCAGTTCTCACAGGCCTCAAAATTCTTGGTTCTGGATCCAGTTGGTAAATTTTAAGTATTAAAGGGCTTTTTTCTTGAATGAAACAAGATTGTGAAAAAAATCATTAGGTATTGCTGCAATTACCATTTTTAGGCTTCCAACCCCAAACAACCAAAATTCACTTTATTCTGTTCATCCTAGGATCTACCGACACTTGTGCACCATTCCTATTCCCCATGTACCCACACCTTTCCTTGTAACCAGGATGGCAACTTCTTAAGGGGTACAAATAAAACACTAAAAGAGATATAGTAGGAATGTGAAATGAAGGTTTTGTCGCCCAAATCCTTGTGAACAGCAGTGTTTTCAATTGTTGGTCACTATCCAATGCCTGCTACAAGATTGATTTTGGCTTAATCCCACATCCAATATTTTGCTGATAATCACATGAAGAATATCAATTGTGTGACAATTAGGTCTGTATGGGGAAGGATCAGCGGAAAAGGGTGAATGGAGGTCACCTGACTACAAACTGATCCAGAAACAATCAATTGTACAGTATCTATAGTAAAATAATGACCATGTTTCATTGTGTGTTGCACTGGCATTAAATTAACATCCATTTTAGGATAGCCTCAAGAAAGCCAAATTCCAGCTGCACTCAACTCTTATTTTCTTGTAAGTGAATAGCAATTCAACAACATTCGTGAAAAAGATATTACAGAATAGAAGCTGGAGACCAAAGCCTGTTCTGTGCAGTGGTTTCAGCAATCCTTCAGGACACAATCCCAATATTTACTCAGCATTCAATGTAGCATCTCCAGCACAGCTCACAACCCAAAGTCCCAGCACACAGATATATACATCACATTATGTGCGCACGAAGTCAGGGGCATGATGTGAGTAAAAGCTCTTATACTTAATCATGATGGTTTGTAGAAGAGTTAGAAAAGAAAGGAAAACATAATTTGAATTTCAAGAGCAGCCTGAATTGTGCAACCTAAAGCTTAGAAAATCTATAGCACTCAGTATAGTGAACTTAGTACTCCGTACAGCACTAAACTCACACTGCAGTTTACACCCCTACACTTTGTCTGCAGTTTACACTTATACTCCTACTGTCATGTGGCATCGTAGTCATTGTGGTCTCCACAACCTGGAACTAGATCTCCAGACTTATTATGGTAAAGGCATGGTGGACATGGTGGCTATCTACCCACAATACTATGAGGACATTCTGGTGAATTAAATCAAACTGGATATTTAAACAGATGACATGATTTGCAGAAGACATTCAATAACTTACACTTTCTTGGGAGAGTTTTTAAGTATGGCTTAAGTACAGAAAGTGTGTGTGTGTGTGTGGGGGGGGGGGTGGGGCATGTCCTCATTTATTTATCTACACAAAGTGCTAAGTAAACTCCACAAAGAAAGCTATTTGGTCAGTGCATACATACCACTCTACACAACTGTGGATAAGGAATCGGTACAGTTAACATGCAGGCAGTGATATCAATGGCTGGTGACACTTCTCCCATCCTCCTTCACTGCAGCCTGTGCAAGAAGCACATATCATCCTATAGGAACATTAATCCTAAATATTTTAACAGCTGTGAATATCCAACTTTTTTCTTTGCACTGGTTCAACAGCATATATTGGATGTAAACCAGTAGCAGAGGATTATATGATCCTCTTGTTCTAATAGAAAACTATGTATAACAGGCCCACAAGCAAAATATTCACATTTTCGGTCTTTGTTCAACATTCTGAGTTTTAAGCGGATATCAAACTAAATCCTTGCTAGTCTTGCCAATACCAAATCTTAAAGAATTAATACTGATATCAGCACTAGCACGATCAATCTTCATATTTGTAGTTAGGAATTTGTAGAGCAGCTCAAAGAGGAAAATTTCTGGATATCTGTCTCATCAAATCTCAGCTGATCCGCATTATGGAGGTGACTGCTGCCAATTACTTAATTGCATTTCACCCCTGAGAGGATTTACTTGGAATTTCAATAGTTAAGTTTAGAACTGTATATTGTCAGCCTGCTGAATTAACAAGAGCAGATTATTTTTCTAATTCACCAGGAATAAACTAACCCAGATCTGTGTCATGCACATTAATCTTTATCCTGGTATTTGAGGTCAGCAAAAACAACAAAAACTATCTGAGGGTTAACATTCAGAAAATATAAATAGGTCCGCTATTGAAAAGGATTTGGGAAAAATAAGTAACTCTGTTTGTAAGGCAGCTTCAGTAACCAGCTCCATGCACATCAGCTGGAAAACACCTCTGCTGTGCCATGTATGTTATGCTCACACATCAGCAAGAAGCCGTACCTTAGTACACCACACTGTACCAGCTAGTCCAGACCTCCTGATTCACACCTTGTATTGGGGAAGTTTGTGACATCTTGGTCTAACACCACAGAATAGATTTTAGTCAATATCCAGAACTCTTGGTTTTGTTCAATTTACACCAACTCAGAAACTGTGAAAATCTTACGGCCTTGCCACAACACATTAACTGACACATTAACTGCGAAATGCTTGATTAAATTTCCCTGGTACAAGGGGTGGCACTATAAGGTCGGTTTCAACATCCAATGTACTGGTGCGAGAAACCAAGAATGTTTACAGAAACACAACCAACAGTAGCCATGAAATTTTTAAATACTAAATGACACTGTTGCTCAGCCTCCCCACCATAAGGCACAGCACAGAACTCCTAGTATAGCTTTCTGCTGCCATTTTTTAATCTATAGATTTGTAAGTAATCATTTCAGCTGCTTGATCCATCTGACAATTATCGATCCACACGAGATAAACAAGCTAAAACTACAGATCATTTCGCTGGTGCAACTTGGGTGAAGAGAAAGTTTAAAGCATGCTTGGTATGATCGGAGTCTGGCCTGAAAGGACTCAGCTATTCCCAGGACAGTGACTGAAGCTGGTGAATGGTGTATAAAACATGTAGGTGTAGAATGAGTGCATATCACAGACAGCTCCAGAAGTAGAAAAATGTCCGAACATCAGAATCCAGTCATTTGGGAGAATTTCTAAAATAAGCATTGCGTAGCAAAAAAAGGAAACCCAAAGATGAAGATGGGGAGAAGCAACGGGAGGATCCCAACAATTAAACTTCAGGAGATCGGAAATTGGTGAAAAGGAAGAATTCCATCAGAAGATCCTGATTTGCACTCCCAAGGTAATCATCGGACAGGTCCTAAAAGCTAAAACCTCATCTGCTTTATCTCTGTATGCATTCTGCAGCAAACCTCAGAGGAATAGTCATCAGTAGAATGCACTCAGGCGTGTGCTCAAGTTCAAGTGAGTGAGTGCTGTTTTAAGGCAGAGTCTGTCACAGGAGAATACAACGAAAGAAGTTGCTCTTTTTCTGCTGCTCTGAGGTGATGCGGACGCCCTGGTTACTGCCCTGGGGACTGTTGCCTTCCTGGAAATATAAGGACATGGGATTAGAAATCCACTATTAAACAAATCCACCGAATCTCAGACCGAACCATAGAATCATAGAATCGTACAGCACAAAAAGAGGCCATTCGGCCCATTGAGTCTGTGCCGGCTCTTTGAAAAGAGCAATGTAATGTCAATCCCACTCCCCAGCCCTTTCCCCATAACCTGCAAACCTGTCCTCCTCAAATACCCATCCACAGCGTTTTTAAAAGTAGTTATCGAATCAGCCTCGACCACCCTTTCAGGCAATGCGTTCTAGATTCGAACAACTCGCTACGTGAAAAAATTTCTTCTCACCTCCTCGCTGCTTCTTTTAGAGACTATTTTGAATCTGTGAATTGTGGAGTCCTGTAGCTCAGTGGTTAGAGCACTCGCTTTGCAAGTGAGAGACCTGAGTTCAATTCCAGGCAGGACGAAACCTTGGGCAAGTTTCCTTACTCCACACAGAGCCTAATAATAATCTCTCCAAAAAAAATAAACAATAATAAATTGGTCATTTTCATTCCATGACTGTTTGTGGGACATTGTTGTGCGCAATTGGCTGCCGCGTTCGCCCACAAATATATAGTCAATTCACTTTACAGTGTGTTCTGTGAAGCGCTTGGGGACGTCCTCCCGACGTGAAAAGCGCTATATCAAATGCAAGGATTATTATTATTATTACAGCTTTATCTATCTGTCCTGCCACCTTCAAGGAATCCCCACCCTCTTAAGATTGTATTACTTTCTTTCTACCAAAATGCATTACCTCACATTTCTTTACATTGAAATTCATCTGCCATGTGTCGCCCATTCTGTCTATGTCTTCCTGCAGTATCATTCTCACTGTTTACTCGCCTACCTAACTTTGTGTCGTCCGCAAACTTGGAAATGGTATTCGCTATACCCAAGTCCAGCTCATTTATGTATATTAAGAAGAGCAGTGGTCCTAATACCGATCCCTGGGGAATGCCACTGTATACTTCCCTCGAGTCATAAAAGCAGCCGTTCACCACAACTCTCTGCTTTCTGTCTCCCGACCAGTTCTGGATCCGTTGCCACTGTTCCTTTTATACCATGGGCTTCTATCTTTCTTACAAGTCTTTCATGTGGCACTTTGTCAAATGCCTTTTGAAAGCCGATATAAACTACATCAACTGCACTCCCTGTATCCACCCTCTCCGTTACCTCATCGAAAAATTCTATTAGATTTGTCAGATAAGATCTGCCTTCAACAAATCCATGTTGGCTGTCCCTAATTAACCCATATTCTTCTAAGTGAAGAGTTATTCTGTCCCGGTTTATAGTCTCCAGGAGTTTCCCGCCTACTGATGTTAGGCTGACTGGCCTGTAGTTCCCAGGTTTGTCCTGTTGTCCCTTTTTGTACAGGGGAGTCACATTGGCCCCTCTCCAGTCCTCTGGCGCCACTCCTGTGTCCAACGAAGATTGAGAAATTGTGGCCAAAGCCTCCGCTATTTGTACCTGTACCTCCCATAGTAACCTTAGCTGCATCCCATCCGGACCGGGGGACTTATCTACCTTCAGCCCAAAAAAACCTTTTCAGTACTTCCTCTCTGTTTATACTTATCATATCCATTTCCTCTGCCATCTCCTCCGATACTGCGGCATTTGGTGCATCCACTTCTTTTGTGAAGACAGATGCAAAGTACTCATTTAGTACATCAGCCATGCCCTCTGCCTTCACAATAAGATTTCTGCCTTGGACTTTAATTGGCCCCACCCTACATTTGACTAACCTTTTTTCTTGATGTGTTTGTGAAATATTTTAGAATTCCCTTTAATGTTACCCGCTAACCTTTTTTCACATAATCTTTTTGCCCCTCTTATTTCCTTTTTCAAACCTCTTCTGCACTTCCTATGTTCTATTTGGTTGTCTTCTGTATCTTGGGTTTGACATTTGTCATACACCTCCTTTTTCTGCTTCATTTCAGATACAATTACCTTCGTCATCCAGAGAGGTTTAGATGCCTTGTATTGTATTTATTCTGTCCCTGAGCTATCTCATTCTTGAAGACTTCCCACTGCTCTTTAGTTGTTTTACCTGCCAATCTTTCTTTCCAGTCCACCTTGGCTCAGTCCCTTTTTAACTCACTGAAATTTGCCCTCTTCCAGTTGAGTATCCCCACCTTAGATGGATTCTTGTCTCTTTCCATATAACTCTGAATCTAATGATGTTGTGATCACTATTGCCCAGATGCTCTCCCACTGAAACCTGCTCCACTTGCCCTGCTTGATTCCCCAGAACTAGATCCAGCACTGCTTCCTTTCTCGTTGGGCTGGAAATGTACTGATCAAGAAAGTTGTCCTGTATGCATTTTAGGAATCTTTCCCCCTCCTTGCCCTTTGCGCTGTTGTTTTGTCAGTCAATGTTGGGATAGTTAAAGTCCCCCATGATCACGACTCTATTGGCCTTGCATCTGTCTGAGATCTACTTGCAGATCTGCTCATCTATTTTCTTCCCACTTTTTGGTGGTCTATAGTATACCCCGACCAGCGTATCAGCTCCTTTTTTGTTCCTTAACTTTAAACAGATAGATTCCGTTTTGGGGTCCTCCAGCGCCTCGACCCTTTCCACGGCTATAACCATATCTTTGACTAACATTGCCACATCCCCTCCCTTTTTTCCTTCCCTATCCCTCCTGAATACATTAAAGCCTTCAATGTCACCGGCAGTCATCATCAGTCACCATCAGTCACCGTGACACTAATTTCTCTGAAATTTACCTCAGCTTGTTACCTCAGAGACTTTCTGTTCCAGGGATGAGTGATTCTAGTTATGATAACAGACTTGGGAAGTTAGGAATTCCACCTCATCACCCCCAAGAAAATAATAAATTTGTACAAGTCTTTATTAGGCCACATTTCTATCATTTTGGAGATACCCTCAATGCCTTATGCGAGTGAATAACAAACCGTGAGGATCAAACACATGAATGCCTGGCTGAGAAATGGTGCAGGAAGGAGGGCTTCAGATTTCTAAACCACTGGGACCACTTCTGGGGCAGATGGGACCTGTACACGAGGGATGGTTTACACCTGAGCAGGGCTGGGACCAATGTCTTTGCAACAAGGATAACAAATGCTGTGGGGAAGCGTTTAAACTGATTTCGAGGGGGGATGGGGATCAGAATGTAGCATCAACAACAACAACAAGATTCCATTTATAAAGCGCCTTTCACGTCAGGAGGATGTCCCAAGGCGCATCAGGAAGGCGAAACGAGTTACATAGTGGACGAGGAGAGACAAATAGAAATGAAACAAGGAATAGTGCAACAAAAAGTGGAAAGAGACAAGGGAGAAATGTAGAGCGGATTAAGCCGGTCTTGGATTTAGTTCTGGGAAATGAAGTGGGGCAAGTGGAGCAGGTTTGAGTAGGAAAGCATCTGGATAACAGTGATCACAATATCATTAGGTTTAGAATAGTTATGGAAAAGGACAACAATCAATCAAAGGTAAAGACCCTCACCTGGAAGCGGGCTAATTTCAGTGAGCTAAAAAGAGACCTGGCCAAGATAGATTGGAAAGAAAGATTGGCAGGTAGGATTGCAAATGAACAATTGGAAGCCTTCAAGGAGGAGATAGTTCGGGGACAGAGCAAATACATTCCCACAAAGGGGAAAGGTAGGACAGTCAAACCTCCCTGGATGACTAAGGAAATTGGGATTAAAATAAAACAGAAAAAGGAGGCTTATGACAAATGTCAGGTCCAAAACACACAGGATAATCAAATAAAATATAGTACAAAGGAGAAGTGAAAAGGGAAATAAGAGGGACGAAGAGATTAGAGGAAACATAAAAGGGAACCCTAAGATAATTTATAAGCATATCAAGAGTAAAAGGTTAGTCGAAGGTAGCGGAAATCTTCTCGTTGAGGCAGAGGGCATGGCTGATATTCTAAATAGGTACTTTGAAACTGTCTTCACAAAAGAAGACGATGCAACCAATGCCACAATATCGCAGGCGTGTGAACAAAAATTGGATATGATAAAAATCAAGAGAGGAGGTACTAAAAAGGCTGTCAGTGGTCAACATAGATAAGTCACCCGGTCCGGACAGGATGCATCCTAGGTTACTGAGGGAAGCAAGGGTGGAAATAGCGGAGGCTCTGGCCATAATGTTTCAATCCTCTTTGGACACTGGAGTGGTGCCAGAGGACTGGATGGTTGCAAATGTTACTCCCCTGTCCAAACATGAGCAGAAGGATGAACCTGAGAACTGAAGGCCAATCAGCCTAATATCAATAGTAGGGAAATTTCTGGAGACTATAATCCGGGACAATATAAATTCTCACTTAGAAAAATACGGTTTAATAAAGGACAGCCAACACAGATTTGTTAAAGGCAGATCGTGTCTGACAAACCTAATAGAATTTTTTGATGAAGTGACTGAGAGGGTGGATGAAGGTAGTGCAGTAGACATAGTTTATCTAGATTTTCAAAAGGCATTTGACAAAGTGCCATATAGTCTCTCTTCCCAACCATGTCTGCAGTCTGTCTATGATTACAGTGGTGAGACATCACCTTGTTGACGAGTATCAACAAGATAATAATAATCCCTCCAAAAAAACCAAAAAACAATAATAAAAAAAAAATTGGGTCATTTTCAATCTACGACTGTTTGTGGGACATTGCTGTGCGCAATTGGCTGCCGCGTTCGCCCACAAATATACAGTCAATTCACTTTACAGTGTGTTCTGTGAAGCGCTTTGGGACGTCCTCCCGACGTGAAAAGCACTATATCAAATGCAAGGATTATTATTATTATTATTATTATACGAGACTTATAAACAAAACAGAAGCCCACAATATTAAAGGGACTGTGGCACTATGGATCCAGAGGTGGCTAGGAGACAGAAAGTAGAGAGTGGTAGTAAACAGTTGCTTTTCTGACTGGAGGGAGGTGTGTAGTGGTGTCCCCCAGGAGTCGGTATTGGGACCACTGGTCTTTCTGTATTAATGATCTGGACCTGGATATAGGGAGCACAATTTCCAAATTTGCAGACGATGCTAAGCTGGGAAAAGTAGGCAATGGTGAGGAGGACAGCATCAGACTCCAAGAGGACTGAGACTGATTGGTAAAATGGGCAGAAACATGGCAGATGAGGCTTAATGTGGAGAAATACGAAAGGGTGCATTTTGGTAGGAAGAATGAGGAGAGGCAATATAAGCTGATGGTACAATCTTAAAGAGGGCAAATGAACAGAGAGACCTGGGGGTCCACATAAGCAAATCTCTGAAGGTGGCAAGACAGGTAGATAAAGCTGTTAAAAAAGCATACGGGATACTAGGCTTTATAAATAGGGGCATAGAATACAAACGTAGGGAGGTTATGTTGAATGCTGGTTAAGCCTCAGTTGGAGACTGCAATCCGTCCAGTTCTGGGCACCGCACTTTAGGAAAGATGTTAGGGCATTGGAGAGGGTGCAAAGGAGGTTTACCAAGATGGTAAGAGGAATGAAGGACCTTAGTTATCAGGAGAGGTTAGAGAAACTAGGCTTATTCTCCCTGGAGCAGAGAAGATTAAGAGGGGATTTAATAGAGGTTTTCAGGATCATGAGAGGATTTGATAGGTTGTTTCCAACTGGCATGTGACTCAGTAACCCGAGGACACTGATTTAAGTTAGTTGTTAAAAGAAACAGAGGGGAGGTTAGGAATTTTTTTTTCACCCAGCGAGTTGTTCAGTTCTGGAATGCATTACCTGAAAGGGTAGTGGAAGCCGATTCAATAACAATTTTTAAGAGAGAAGTAGATGGGTATTTGGGGAGGACAGGATTGCAGGGCTATGGAGATTGAGTTGGATTGCTCTTTTGCGGAGACAGACACGATGGGCCGAATGTCCTCTTTCTGTGTTGTATGATTCTGTGATTCTATAACTTGGAGGAAACACAGGCCTTCTGCGCGCCCCCCACCCCAAACCCTCCACACTATCATAGAATCATAGAATATTACAGCTCAGAAGGAGGCCATTTGGTCCATCATGCCTGTGGAGGCTCTTTGGAAGAGCTGCCCAATCAGTCCCACTCTCCTGCTCTTTCCCCACATCCTTGCAATTTTTTTCCTTTTCAAGTACCTTCCAATTCCCTTTTGAAAACTGTCATTGAATCTGCTTCCATCACCCTTTCAGGCTGTGCATTCCAGACCGTTAACAACTCTCTGTGTAAAAAAATTCTCCTCATCTCCCCTCTGGTTCTTTTGCCAATTATCTTAAATCTATGTGCCCTGGTTACTGACCCGCCCGCCAGTGGAAACAGTTTCTCCTGATCTACTCTACCAAAACCCCTAATAATTTTGAACATCTCCATTAAATCTCCCCGTAACTTTCTCTGCTCTGAGGAGAACAATCCCAGGTTCTCCAGTCTGTCCACACAAGTAAAGTCCCTCATCTCTTCTGGTAAATCTCCTCTGCACCCTCTCCCAGACTTTGATCTCCTACCTAAAGTGTGTTGTCCAGAATTGGACACAATAGTACAGCTGAGGCTTAACCAGTGACTTATGATGGTTTAGCAGAATTTCCTTGCATTTGTACTCTATGCGTCTATTTAGAAAGCCAAGGATCCCATATGCTTTTTTCAGAGCTCCATCAACCTGTCCTGCTACCTTCAAAGACCTGTGTACTTGAACTCCCAGGTTCTCAGCTTCTGTACGCTCTTGATAAGGTACCTAATAAGGTACCTTATCAAACGCCTTCTGAAAGTCCATATACACTAAATCAACTGAACTATCTTCATCAATCCTCTCCGTTATATCATCAAAGAACTCAATGAAGTTTGTCAGACACGATTTGCCTTTAAATTTGCCATGTAGACTGTCATTAATTAATTTGTTTTTCTAAAAGTAAAAAATAATTTTGTCCCGAATTGGCCAGGTTTATCCCTCTCCCCTTTTTTGAACAGGGAGTAAGATTAGCAACCCTCCAGTCCTCAGGCACTATTCCCATATCTAAGGAGGAATGAAAAATTGTGGCCAGAGCCTTCGATAACTCCACCCTAACTTCCTTCAGCAATCTAGGAAGCATCCCATCTGGACCTGGTGACTTTTCTACTTTGAGCGCTGCTAACCTTTTCTGTATTTCCTCTCTATCCATTTGCATCCAACTTCTCTGCCTCCTCCACCTCTACGGTGACCTTGGGGGCATCCTCTTTTGTGAAGACAGAAGCAAAGTATTCATTCCGTACCTCAGCCATGCCCTCGGCCTCCACAAGAAGTTTTCCATTTTGGTCCTTAATAGGGCCACCCCCCCTTGCTTTGACCATCCTTTTACTTTTTGTGTTTATCTGTGACCTAATGTCTGGAACTCTCTTGCCTCAATTCTTCTGCCTCCCCATCTTTATCTATCTTTAAATCCCACCTTAACAGCTACCTCTTCAAATTCCCTTACTTGGTATACAACTCTGCCACTATACAGCGCTCTGGCATGAAGGGAGCTACAAAAATCCGGTCACAAATTGTTGACGTAAAGTCCACAAATTATTTTAAAAAGTAACTATACAGATGCTTGAAGATGAGGAATGTTATAGGGTGTGGGGATTGACCTAGAGAGTGGGATTAGACTATAGCTGCTGTAGTGAACATACAACGCAGACTTGATGAGCTGAAGGACCAATTCTGTGTTGTTATACAGGGCAACCCAGTTAGAATAATGGTCCATTATGCAATTGGCCATGAACTCGAACATTTTGTTAGCTCTAAATCCCATCTTTGAAGCATGATGACAGTAAATGAAGCACACAGTGCAACGTAACCAATACATGTCACCAAATATCAACTGGTAATGTTACCACAGGAAGCACTAACCAGCGGCTGCTCAAGTACATTATAAGGTGGGCTGGGATCTTATGCACCCCCTAGATCTGCCTTAAAGCATGTATTTTATAATCTCAAAGTCGTATCCCTCATCTGGGGAGATAATCCAGCACCAGCCTTTGTCAATCCTTCTGAACCCGGTGTGCATTCTGCCTTAAACAATGCTCTGACATATATTTAAGTATTGGAGTGGAAGGCAGCACATTTAATATTTGATACTGTATAGACACATACCAATTTCTTGTCCATTTTTGCTTTGATGTCTCTGGCAAGAGTGAAAAAAGCCTGCAAGAGGTAAAAATAAAAAACGTTAATTATCCACCTGAGAAAGAACAAGTTAAAGAACAACACAAATGCTCATCACAAATGCTAATAATAATGAAATTGGTTACTTGAATCCACGGCTGTTTGTGGGATGCTGTTGCATGCAATCGGCTGCCGCGTTTCATCCAAAAAATATACAGTGTATCTGTGAAGCGCTTTGAGACGTCTTGAAGACGTGATAAGGCGTTATATCAAATGCAAAGATTATTATTATCAGTTTAAAATAACACTCCTTGATATAGTGCTTATAACATCCAAGTGTTCAAAACTGCTCTACATAATAAATTGCAGCTGATTTGCACACACCAGGTCCACAAACAAGGCATATAATAAACATAATCCTTACATCTGATACAGCACCTTCATGTTAGAAGAACGTCTCAAAATGCTTCATAGAATTTACTATAAAGTGACTACTGTGTAGCAAACACAACCAATTTGCAGCAATCTCCCGCAATCAACCATTAAGTCAGGGACGGGTAAATATTTTGGCTGGCGGGCCGCTTCACAAGTTTTGGTAAACTCTGCGGTCCACACACTTAATATAGATGCAAATGCTTAATAATAGCTCAAAATCAAGTCTTGTACACTTACACTTGTACATGCATAAAATAAAGTCTATATAATGGACATTCATTAAAATTAAATAAGAACAACTCATTGAGCAGACATTTATTCGATATTTATTCACATATTGATGAGAATGTGAGAAGCTCACTCAAAGGGATGAAAGAATTAAAGCGTTGATGTGCCTTAACCAGACAGTTGAAGTCAAGCATTGTCTCCATTATTGCAATGCGGAGAACTGCTGCAAGTTGGTCATCAGTCATCACAGATCTATGCTTTGATTTATTGAATTTCATCACAGAAAATGTCTTCTCACATATGTATGTGGATCCAAACAGCACAAGCTTCCTCTGGGCATGAGTCTTTATTTTTGGAAAGGTCTATTCATTAAGAGAAGCATAAAAACTGGGAAGCGGCACTGATTTGAATTGCTCCGCAAGCAATGGATCACATTGCAGGTCAATAAACTCAAGTTGGAGGTCAAATGGGGCTTTGTCAACATCAAATGAGAAAGGTGAAAAGACCAAAAACAGGTCATTTTCGATCAAATTGAATCCTGGAATCGGCGAGAAAATTCGGTATGAAAGTCAAGTAGTGACGAAGTCTACTTTTTATGGCTTTGATCGCAAACAGTAATCTGCTGCAAAGTTGGAAAGTGGGCGAACAGCCTGTTTCCTATCTGATGTGATAAAATAAATAATTTTGTCATAAATGACTTGACACTGCAATACAAATTATGCACAATAAAAACCGTTGCAGTTTTGAATTCAGTTCATTTATGTGGCCCATGATATCAACGGCAAATGCGAAATCAGAGCCAATTCGCATCATTCAGCTGTGGGAAATCTGAATCTTTTTGTTTTATGTCCAAAAATAAATCAATCTCTTCTCAGTTCCACACTCTTTTCAAGACCTTTCCTAAAATAAGCAATCTTACATTCGTGTGATACAGAACATTCGTTTGCTCGGATTCCAATTCCTCAAGCAGAGTTACAGATTACCTGTGGTTTAATCCCCTTGCTCGAATGTAGTTGATCACTTTCGTAACTGTCCACGACATTGTTTAGTTTTAGAACACTCTTACAGAGGACTTCTTGGTGGATAATGTAGTGTAGAAAAACAATATTCTGTTCTGGATTTGTTTCTTTGACTTGATCTGGAATTCTTTTCAGTGACCCAACATTTCTACTGTCAGATTTGGGCTTCCATCAGTGGTCACATTGACCAATTTTTCCCACTCCACTCCTAATTTTAAGATACATTTATTTACTGCCTCCAAAAAGTCTTCTCCAGTTATCGTATCTTTCATTGACTGCATTGATGCCAATTCTTCTGTGAGCTCAAAATGTCTGGTGATACCTCGAATAAAAATTATCAACTGGGCTGTGCCTTTGACATCACAACTCTCATCGAGTGCCAGTGAAAAACATGCAAAATTGCTTACTTTATTTTTATAACTGCACTGTTTTTATTTTCTTTATTTAATTTTTTAATTTATTTTTATTTTATTTATTTTAGTTGTTTGATTTTTCACCCACACTGGTAAACAAATACTTAGAAGTCCATTCTTTGTTAAATATTCGTCCTTCAGCGTCCACTTTTCGCTTCTTTGATAAACTCAATTCGAATTAACGTCCTCTTCAGTGAAAAGTATTGCCGAGGTTACCACGCGTGTTTGAAAATTTGCCAATCCATACATTTCTGACATCAGCCTGATTCAACACTTAAGGGAGCTGCGCACAACTAAGCCGTGTGATTGGCTGATGTTCCTGATCTGATTCAAATGCGAAACTTGTGTGACTTTCTGGGATTGAATGAACTATAATTGTTTCTATTGCTGGACACAATGACGGGCCGGAGAGAATCATTTGGCGTTCGGATATGGCCCGCGGGCTGTATTTTGCTCAACCCTACATTAAGTGAATGACCAATTTTAACCGGGGGAATCTTGTCAGGCCACTGGGAGTAACTCTTCTTTTTTGGGTCGGCTGCACGTCTGACAAATGCAGAAACTCATCACCGTGCTTTAAGAATATCCAAACCAAATAGAGTTCCATGATAACAGCTTTTAAGAGAGAACTGGATAGGTCTGGGTTTGCAGGGTTATGGGGAGAAAGCTGGTGATTGGGGTTAGTGAAAGTGACTTGCTCTGTCAAAGAGCCAGCACAGACTCGATGGGCTGAATGGCCTCCTTCTGTGGCATAACATTCTATGAATCTATGAATACATGGAAATTCTAGAGATATTTATTCAACTGGATTGTGCACTCCTTCCTTGGAGGGATCCAGCTTGTTTTTCTAATTCTGTTGGCAAGAGCAAAAGCTTGGTGACCACAGTGTACGAATTGGAGTCAAACCAGTTAAAACTGCACAGCTTGAAAGCGGTGTCTGCCAAGCGTTCCCACTGCTTGTCCAGCTAGCACTGGCTACATGTAATAATTCTCAATCCAAAGCCTCCGTGCGTTAGTAAATTTCTTTATGCAATGCAAATGCAATGAATATTATTATTTATTGTCAACTCAGAGCACTCCAACTGATGTGTCCCACTCCCAATGTCCTTTTGTACTTCCTGTCGTTACCTTATTGGCTCTGTCATAGCAACTGGAGCATGTTCTGTCTTTCTATAATTAATCAAAATGAATAACTAATTAATTAATAATTAATGGCTGATCTGTACTTGAAGTGAAATTACTCGCCCTTGGCCTGTTTCTGGCCTAACAAATATCTATCCACCTCAGTCTTGAAAATGAAAATGAATCTAGGATCCACAGCCTTTTGGGGGGAGAGCTGCAAATTTCCACTAGCCTTTGGGTAAAAAACTGCCTCCTAATTTCACTCCTACACAACAACAACTTGCATTTATATAGCGCCCTTCACTCGCAATATTCCCTTCAAGTGGAATCCTGTGGTTAGAGCATTCGCTTTGCAACTGAGAGACCTGAGTTCAATTCCAGGCAGGTCAGGGCGAAACCTTGGGCAAGTTTCCTTACTCCACACGCCTAATAATAATTCCTCCAAAAAAACAAAATAATAATAAATCGGTCATTTTCAATCCATGACTGTTTGTGGGTTATTGCTGTGCGCAATTGGCTGCCGCGTTCGCCCACAAATATACAGTCAATTCACTTTACAGTATATTCTGTGAAGCGCTTTGGGATGTCTAGAAGACGTGAAAAGCCTATATCAAAATGCAAGGATTATTATCATTATGGTAGGAGCCGTGGTAGGAGGAAAGGGTGGTGAGGGAGGCATGGGGGGGAGAGGGGGGAAGAGGAGGAGGAGGCAGTCAACTGGATGTTGTCGATCTTGGGAGAAAAAAGATGTCCAGGACCTCTTTGTACTTGATGTCTGAGGTGAGGATCGAGGATACTTGAGAGGGAGCATGGAGGAGGTGCTGGGCAGTGGAGAACAGGAATTTGGGGATATTCTTGACCACGAGGATAACCTGTGAGAAAGAGGTTTTGGCTTGAGAGAGGAAGAGGTGGTTAAGTATGAAGAGTCACAGGTACCAGTGAATCGTGAGGCTGGTTTGGTGCCATCTGTGCTTGAGCAGCTGGGTTTGCGATTTGAGAGAATAGAGATGACAGTTTTACCAGGGAGAGCAAGTGGGTTTGGAGATGGTCTTGGGGAACGAGGGAATTAAAGGTGGAGGAGAGGTGATCGTTTAGTAGCTTGACGGCTGCATCAGGAACGTTGTGGGTTGAAGGCCAGCAGGAGAGAATGTTTAATGAGAGGGCGTCTGTGAGGGACTCGGGCAGAAGCTTTTTCCATGGGCAGAAAAGGATGGTGGAGGACTTGGAGGAATGGAGGGGGATGAAGAAGTGGTCAGAGATGGCCTCTGCCATGACCACTGGCACCTGGAAATGTAGCCACTTCAAGTCACATTAATTCTTTTCTCACCACCTACTTTAACATCTACATGTCCTATCCAGCTTTCTATGTTCCGTGCTGAGATAATATTTTATCTGGGGGAATCGATATTCCTATCAATTTTCCCTCCACTGCAAATACTAAGGCACAATATTTATTAATATTCTCTGCTGTTGGTTTATGCTCAGTTCCCATATAACCTTTCTCAAGCAAGCCTTATGGTTTTAGTTGGTGAAACTGCAGCAGTACACTCTGGGGTCCCCAAGGAAAACTCTTGCCAACCTGTGCCTAATGCTCCCCAGAATTAAGTATGCAAACCTGGAATTCCCATGTACAGGTACGATACATGGAACTTTGTTTGGTTTGGATGTTCTTAAGAATGGTAATGGGTTTCTGCACTGTCAGACAACTGGCTAACCAAAAAAATGTGCATATCCCATCAATATTTCTTTCTAGGACCTACACAGCCTCCTCTGATTCCAGTTTCTCCAACTTGGTTTTATCTGCAAATTTATCTTACAAGGA